TCTGGTTGCACATTTAACATGCTGGTAGAAGTTAGGTAAAACTTATTTAAATTTGCCTGCATTAAAGTCCCCCGCCACAAAGTGCCGCTTCTGGATTAGCATTTTCATGTTTGCTTATGGCCTTATACAGCTCGTTGAGTGCGGTGGATAGTGTGGTCTACAGCTTATCATGAGGTACTCTACCTCAGGCGAGCAATACCTCAAGACTTCCTTAATATTAGACATCGTACACCAGCTGTTATTGATAAAATAGACACACACCCCGCCCCTCGTCTTACCAGATGTAGCTGCTCTGTCCTGCCGATGCACGGAAAACCAAGCCAGCACTTTTAGCCACGACTCGGTGAAACATAAGATATTACAGTTTTTAATGTCCCGTTGGTAGGGTAATCTCGAACGGAGATCATCCAGTTTATTTTCCAATGATTGCACGTTGGCCAATATAACGGATGGTTGAGGCAGGTTTCCCACTCGCCGACGAATTCTCACAAGGCACCCTGATCTCCGCCCCCTGTATTTCCGTATTTTCTTCACACGAATGACGGGGATTTGGGCCTGGTCTCAGGGAAGCAGTATATCCTTCGCGTTGGACTCATCTTTGTCCAGTTCGAGGTGAGTAATTGCTGTTTTGATATCCAGAAGCTCTTAAGAGACGGTAGCAGCAACATTATGTACAAAATAAGTTACAAATAATGCGAAAAAACTAACAAAATAGAACAGTTGGTTAGGAGCCTGTAAAACAGCAGCCATCCCCTCTGGCTTATTTGGGGTATTATGGATATTTCTGTTATATTGTGTTATGTTTTAGTATTTGTAAGGCCCACTGCTAAACTGGACAGGTTGTTGAGTAATTTAGAACCAGTGGTCAGTCGATGTGCCCTGGGCCTGTTTTGAGTATGGTCGACTGTCGTACTGTGGTTGAGCGGTCATTGTTACAGCAGGTCTCTGTATGACCGACTGTTTCCTCTGACTACTGTCTGGACTGTCTGGTCATGTGTTACGAAAGTGAGAAGTCGTTAGAAAGACACGCACACACAGAACTACTGGCCTTTGGCATCCAGTGTCCCTACTCACACACACACACACACACACACACACACACACACACACACACACACAGCCAGTCTGTGGTGGAACGCCTTTCATTTCCTAACTGAATCCCGGATGTGCCCCCCATCCCCTCCTTCTCCCCCCAAGAGACTCAGCTATTTTGATAAATGCTATTATAAAAACAGCTCTGCTCTCTGCCTAATGATGTTATCCCTCTCTCCCTCTCTCTCTCCCTCCCTAACATCAGTTTCCTGACCTAGTTGAAAGGGGAGTCAGGAGTTTGGGCTGCTCCCTGTTAGACTTGATTCACTCTCCTCCAGCTCTGTTTGGGTTGTTGTCACCCTGCTGTTCCGTCCTGCATCTGGGGGTGTGAAACTGTGGTACAGTAGAGTTGTGTAAGATCTTGATTGAGTGTGTGTGCACGTGTGTATAGTTCTACATGGGGGTTTAACTGAGAGGAAAGGCCTGAAAACCCAGATAGGGTTGCAGTGTCCTTCCCCCAACCCATATCCTGTCGACATATACCCTTTCTCCCAAATGCAGACAGGCAGCCCTTCTCTCTCGCTCTCTCTCTCTCTCTGTGACAAGCTCCTAATTGTCTCCAGTCATCCTCATCCCCCCCGGTCCCTCGTCTCTCGTCCCGTCGTCATTACTGTCCTCCCATTATGGCCATTACGGACCGCTCATGTGGCCGCCGGACCCTTTGAGGATCTGGTTCCACGGTAACCTGGCCCGTCTCCACGGTAACCCTAGACCGTCTCCGGGGGAATGCAGCATTTCCCTTCCTTTTGTCTGGCCCATGTGGAGTGGCGCTCGGGGGCCAGGTTGAGTTGCACAGTTTTTTTTGTTTTTTGGGGAGGGGGCAGGAAAAGGAGGAGGAGGTGGTGTGTGTGTGTGTGTGTGTGTTAAGATTAAGCTGACCGTGAAAGGAGGCCCTGTGAGATGTCTTGGATTTGGAGCATTGTAGTAGGAGGGGGTTGGGGATGAAGCTACAGAATGATATTGAGTTACCAAAAAACGTCCTGGTAGTGCAGTAAGGCTGTGCTTCAGAGAGAACTGGTGTGGGCACGTTTGTGGTCTTTGTACGTCTATCAACCATTGGAGCCTAGACAGTACAGAAGGACTAAGTGTGGAGGTGTGAAGTGACTGGCACAATGATGAGCCATGCCAACAGAGTACAACAAGGCTGTACACCCGTCACCTGTAGACCCCAGAGGGTTGGCAGCACCTCCCTCCTGTAAGTGTGTGTGTGTGTCTTTGTGTGCATGCAAGTTCTCAAATGTCCTCTACCTGTTTCTGTCTCTCCTCAGGTTCAGAGCTAAAGGAGCTGCGTGAGGAGACGCTGGCACTCCTCATGGCCTCTGAGCTGGTGACCCCTGGAGGCCCCTCTGCTGTGTGTGGCCCCTCGGGCCCCTGTGGCCCCCCCGGCACCACCCAGTATCTCCTCAGCCTGGCACGCCTGGCACTCAGCGCCAGCGTGGAGAGCCCACTACTGTGGGGCGTGGAGGAGGATGGCACCACATCGCGAGGACCCCTGCTCCTGGGGTGTCTGCTGCAGTGCCCACACTACGAAGTCCGTGAGCTGGCCCTGGGAGAGGTCCTGAGGAGGCTGGAAAGAGAGAGGGATGAAGGGGAGGAGGAGAGGGATGGAGAGGGGGAGAGAAGCTCTCACTGGCCCCAGGAGACCATCATCTCTAACCTCACTACCCTGGCCCTGCATGAGACCCACCCTCAGTCTCTGGCCAAGGTAAGACTCCATGGACACCATGGGGAGGGTCTCTAGGACCAGAGTTTTTTCCTCTGGTCTGGTCATGTTTTAAGGATAAACTCCAGGTCACTTAAACATGATGATATGGTTATTCGGTAGTTTGTCATTAAGCTGGTGTTTTATGAAGCCTATGGGGGAATCAAACGTACAACTCCACCCAACTCCACCCATTGTGTTCAACCTCACTCTCCCCATTGACAAACTCAAGACAATTATAGCAAATTGATTCCATGTACAAATCTGTTTTCCTTATTATTGCGTGAGAGCCTTATAGCACCATACGGCTACGCCAAGCACACAGCACAGGCAGAGAGAACATCTCACTCCCTCCCTCCTCGGTCCCTCCTCGGTTTGGTAACTTTCCACTCCTCCACCAGGCAGCACCGCTGCACACGGTGGAGGTTTAAGTAAAAAGGCAGCCTGCTTATCCCAGCTAGAATCATATTTCAATTCCTCATAAACACTGGACAGCCATCCATTACCCAACACTTTGCTCTGCCATTCCTATCATTAACCTGTGTTAGAGTTGACAAGACTCGTCACTCCTGGAAATGGTGCGTGCGCGCATGTATGTGTGTGTGTTTTACTGAAAACTGTTTTATTGCCTAGCCGTTAATGTTTAAGCAGCCGGCCCGTTAAGCCGCATCTCTCCGTGCCAAGGACACCGTTTCCATGGCTAGCCCTCTGCTCCAGTAAAGCATTCTGGAAGAAAACACTGCGTTTGGGCTGACTTCCTCTGTGGGTTGGATCTGTTGGCCTTTAAAAGAGCAGGAGCAGGGCATTCAGCATCCTGTGAGACTAACCTGCAATCCTCCTCAGCCCAGTCTCTCACTTTACAGCTTTACAGTGCTTTAAAGGTCTCAGACGGGACTGCTATTTGCTGAGTAAGGTGTGTGTGGGTGGGTGGGTGGCATGGGGGTTTGAAATAAGTCCACTATTCGAATAGTATCATGAATTTTTGTTGGATATCCGGAGATTCGAAATACATGTTTTATTTTTTGTTACTTACGTTTTTAACCTGAGCACTGCTGCGTGAGGGAGAGGCTGGCGCTCTATTGCTGCAGCTGTGGAGGTGCCGGTGAGATGGGAGCGAGCAGGCAGAGGCAGAGAGAGCGACGCTGCTCAGCCACAGCCAAGACTAGCTAACTTGTAGTAGCCACAATGTTATTTAGCGTCCCATATAACAGTGCCTGTCTTGACTGGAGTAGCCTAGAGAAGCTAGCTAGGCTAATTAAGGCCACATGCTGCACTTTCTCCCCAACCCCATTCAGATAAAACAGCCTACCTGTTGGTTGCTTGTTGTAGCCTACTCCTTCTCATTTCGGTAACTTTTAACGCCATAATGTTATTCCATCTTGCATTGCGTTGGTGAACTCTCACTCCACTTGCTACACATTGAGCCTCTTTGCCACTTTGATTGGCCAAGTTACACACCTGAAGGCTACCGGTCGGCCACCAGTCTTTTTTATGGGGCTCATGTCATAAAAACGACATTGGAAAGTTTGTTGTTTTATTAAATTAATAACTTGAAATGTCATGGTATATCCTTGTATGTATCAGTGTCACATGGATATTTTCATTTAATTTAGAAAAAGCCTTTTCAGTGTTAAAATAGGCCTATAAAAATGAATACTCACAAGTACTCGAATACTAACGTCTGTTTGGATATTCGACTAACCGTGCACATCCCTAGTTTGTGTGTGTCAGGAAGGTTGTGTGTGTGTGTGTGGGGAGGATGCGTATGTGAGCGTGTTTGTTTGTATGTCTATTGATGTTATTTGAATGTGTGTGTTTAGGAGAGTGCTTGTGTGTGATTCAGCGCATGGTGAGACAGGAGCCCATTAAAGGGGGTAGTAAAACTGAAAAGCCATGGAGCATCATAGAGACCAAGAGAGACCAGAGGCTAAAGAACAGCTGTGGGGTATACTACTTTAATATTTGTCTGAGACAGCAGCACAGTCACAAGCTGAGGGCCACAGAAGCCATATAACCTGCTCACGTCCCGTCCAGACTGACATCCACTTACACTGCTATCCCTCTAACCCCATAAAGGGATCATTTTAAAGCTTTAATAACAGCTCCATGCATTTAAATAAGTAATAATCAAAGACATATGCAGAAGGAATGTCAACAGGTGTTGGGGGTTTCTGAGGGAAAACAACTTCTTCCTCCCCAGACTCACTCCGCTGATCCCTCGCTTAAGGTGGGACTGGAGGAACGGAGAGGGAGTCAGGTCCTGGAAAGCAGAAATGAGAAATGGAAAGGGAGAGAAGGACAGAGACTGAGGGACAGATCTAGAGATGAGGCAGAGAGAGGGCGAAAGGGATGAAAGCCAGAGACACACACACACACACAGGGTGGTACAGGGTGTGTGTGTGTGTGTGTGTGTGTGCGCATACGTGTGTCACAGCTGTGTGCCCGTGGTTTGGGTTAGCTGGGAGGATCTGAACGTCCAGAGGGGTAAAATGATCTCCAGGGCAGGGTGCCAACTCACACAGGACAGACACCACAGAGCTGTGCGCCTCAACCTAGGACCCAGTTGTTCATGTTCAAGAGTAGACATATAGTCAGGAAAAAATCCTGCTCTTACTTCACCTCTGTATTAGGGATGGGCACTTGAAAGAATGGCTGATTTCGAGTACTCTCTTGAAAATAATTTGTAGTACTCAAGTACTCGCATGTTAGCGTGAAACGGGCCTGCCCTGAAGGAAAAAAAGTTTGCGGTATGCTATTGGTTGTTTTAATTACTGGTTCTGATACACAACTGAGACTAAAGTATGTATTTTCACTGCACTTGACATACTCCAAACAGTAAACACATATTAGAGTTAGACATTTTTTTTTTGCTTATACATTTAACCTGCTAAATAAGTGCATTTGTACATTTCAAATACTTGTATTCAGTTATTAGTAATCTAATACAAACCTTGAATCGAGTATTTGAGTACTCAGATGTGGTGCTGCTCAGTCCTCTTACTCCTTTTCTTCTCTTTCTCTTGCTCTCTCTCCCTCCCTCTCTCATCTCTCTCACTCTCCATCCCTCTTTCCTCAGGTGCTGCAGGTGCTGTCTGTCCTCAGCATGAGTTCTGACCTGCAGTGGATGGACGGTCTACAGACTCTGACCCAGGCAGAGGTCCTGGAGCGGGTTCTCACACTGGCTGAAGACTTCGCCCACAGGTGAGCCCACCCACCAAGGGCCTGAAACATCAATACACTATTACCCTTTTCACACTACTGAGCTGAACCAAGCCAAGCTGATCTGTACTAGGCTGGCCACCACCACAATTGTTGAAACCATGCTTGAAAGGCAATGTGGAAAGCCAGCACAGTAATGGTTCAGGTCAGCATGATAGTGTGAATCAGGTCTAACTGCACAATCCTTCACAAAACTCGAGTTTAGGATGGGTTAGGATCTCCGTAAGGACTTGGCCCTCAGTAAGCAACAGCACTTAAAGTTAGTGAGTGCATACATTTTCATACTGGCCCCCCGTGGGAAACGAACCCACAACCCTGGCGGTGCAAGCGCCATGCGCTACCAACTGAGCTACAGGGGACACGTCCACAACAATGACTCATTGAGTTCTTTCTCTTTTTATCCCATCACCCTAAGATTCCATTCCTCTCATTATCAGGCATAGTTCTCCTGAACTTCTCCCAGTCCAGCCTGTGAGACATTGTGACATAAGCAAGTCACACTCTCTTCCAGCTGTACAGTGCCTTGCAAAAGTATTCATACCTCTTGGATTTCTTCACATTTTGTTGTGGGATTAACATTTATTTAATTGTAAAAAAAAATTGTCAACAATCTACACATAATACTCTGTCAAAGTGGATTTTTTTAGATTAACTGAAATTAGTCATGGCATAGGTATTCAGCTTCCTGAGTCAATGCATGTTAGAAAATACCTTAGAATTATTTGTTTTGGATATACAGTGCCTTCGGAAAGTATTCAGACCCCTTGAGTTTTTCCACATTTTGTTAGGTTACAACCTTAATCAATTTTAGAATAAGTTGTTTTTTTCCCCCTCATCAATCTAATGACAAAGCAAAAACATATTACATTTACATAAGTATTCTGACCCTTTACTCAGTACTCAAGTCTTCGTGGTTATTGCGCTACAAGCTTGGAACACCTGTATTTGGAGAGTTTCTCCCATTCTTCTCTTCAGATCCTCTCAAGCTCTGTCAGGTTGGCTGGGGAGCGTCGTGGCACAGCTATTTTCAACTCTCTCCAAAGATGTTCGATCGGGTTCAAGTCCGGGCTCTGGCTGGGCCACTCAAGGACATTCAGAGACTTGTCCCGAAGCCACTCCTGCGTTGTCTTGGCTGTGTGCTTTGGGTCGTTGTCCTGTTGGAAGGTGAACCTTCACCCAAGTCTGAGGTCCTGAGTGCTCTGGACCAGGTTTTCCATCAAGGATCTCTCTGTACTTTGCTCTGTTCATTTTTCCCTCGATCCTGACTAGTCTCCCAGTCCCTGCCGCTGAAAACATCCCCACAGCATGATGCTGACACCACCATGCTTCACCGTAGGGATGGTGCCAGGTTTCCTTCAGACGTGACGCTTGGCATTCAGGCCAAAGAGTTCAATCTTGGTTTCATCAGACCAGAGAAATCTTGTTTCTTAGTGTCTGAGAGTCCTTTAGGTGCTTTGGCAAACTCCAAGCGGGCTGTCATGTGCCTTTTACTGAGGAGTGGCTTCTGTCTTGCCACTCTACCATAAAGGCCTGATTTGGTGGAGTGCTGCAGAGATGGTTGTCCTTCTGGAAGGTTCTCCAATCTCTACAGAGGAACACTGGATCTCTGTCAGAGTGACCATCAGGTTATTGGTCACCTCCCTGACCAAGGCCCTTCTCCCCCGATTGCTCAGTTTGGCCGGGCGGCCAGCTCTAAGAAGAGTCTTGGTGGTTCCAAACTTCTTCCATTTAAGAATGACAGAGGCCACTGTGTTCTTTGGGACCTTCAATGCAGCATAAATATTTTGGTACCCTTCCCCAGATCTGTGCCTCGGCACAATCCTGTCTTGGAGTTCTACGGACAATTCCTTCGACCTCATGGCTTGGTTTTTGCGCTGACATGCACTGTCAACTGTGGAACCTTATGCAGTTGAAGTCGGAAGTTTACATACACCTTAGCCAAATACATTTAAGCTCAGTTTTTCACATTTCCTTAAATTTTTTATACTAGTAAAAAATTCCCTGTCTTAGGGCTTGCTCGCACATGCTTTTTCAGTTCTGCCCACAAATGTTCTATAGGATTAAGGTCAGGGCTTTGTGATGGTCGCTCCAATACCTTGACTTTGTTGTCCTTAAGCCTTTTTGCCACAACTTTGGAAGTATGCTTGGGGTCATTGTCCATTTGGAAGACCCAATTTGCGACCAAGATTTAACTTCCTGACTGATGTCTTGAGATGTTGCTTCAATATATCCACATAATTTTCCTTCCTCATGATGCCATCTATTTTGTGAAGTGCACCAGTCCCTCCTGCAGCAAAGCACCCCCACAGCATGATGCTACCACCCCCGTTCTTCACGGCTGGGATGGTGTACTTCGGCTTGCAAGCTTCCCCCTTTTTCCTCCAAACATAACGATGGACATTATTGCCAAACAGTTCTATTTTTGTTTCATCAGATCAGAGGACATTTCTCCAAAAAGTACGAACTTTGTCCCCATGTGCAGTTGCAAACCTTAGTCTGGCTTTTTTATGGCGGTTTTGGAACAGTCGTTTCTTCCTTGCTGAGCGGCCTTTCAGGTTATGTCGATATAGGACTCGTGTTTATACTTGCGTACTATTGTTTGTACAGATGAACGTGGTACCTTCAGGCGTTTGGAAATTGCTCCCAAGGATGAACCAGACTTGTGGAGGTCTACTATTTATTTATTTATTTTTTCCCCATGATGTCAAGCAAAGAGGCACTGAATTTGAATACATCCACAGGTACACCTCCAATTGACTCAAATGATGTCAATTAGCCTATCAGAAGCTTCTAAAGCCATGACATCATTTCCTGGAATTTTCTAAGCTGTTTAAAGGCACAGTCAACTTAGTGTATGTAAACTTCTGACCCACTGAAAGTATGATACAGTGAATTATAAGTGAAATAATCTGTAAACAATTGTTGGAAAGATTACTTGTGTCATGCACAAAGTAGATGTCCTAACCGACTTGCCAAAACTGTAGTTTGTTAACAAGAAATTTGTGGAGTGGTTGAAAAACGAGTTTTAATGACTCCAACCTAAGTGTATGTAATCTTCCGACTTCAACTGTATATACAGGTGTTTGCCTTTCCAAGTCATGTCCAATCAATTGAATTGACCACAGGCGGACTCCAATGAAGTTGTAGAAACATCTCAAGGATGATCAATTGAAACAGGAGGCACATGAGCTCAATTTTGAGTCTCATAGCAAAGGATCTGAATACTTATATAGATATTTTTTTTATATATATATATAAATGTGCGTACGTTTCTAAAAACCTGTTTTGACTTTGTCATTATGGGGTATTGTGTGTAGATTGAGCAAAAAAAATATTTTAATCCATTTTAGAATCAGGCTGTAACGTTACAAAATGTGTAAAAAGGGAAGGGGTATGAATACTTTCCGAATGCACCGAATCCAGGTGAAAGCTATGATCCCTTATTGATGTCGCCTGTTAAATCCACTTCAATCAGTGTAGATGAAGGGGAGGAGACCAGTTAAAGAAGGATTTTTAATCCTTGAGACAATTGAGACATGGATTGTGTATGTGTGCCATTCAGAGGGTGAATGGGCAAGACAAAAGATGTAAGTGCCTTTGAATGGGGTATGGTAGTAGGTGCCAGTTGCACCGGTTTGAGTGTGTCAAGAACTGCAACGCTGCTGGGTTTTTCACAGTCAATAGTTTCCCGTGTGTGTCAACAATGGTCCATCACCCAAAAGACATCCAGCCAACTTGACACAACTGTGGGAAGCATTAGTCAACATGGACCATCATCCCTGTAGAACGCTTTCGACAACCTTGTAGTCCATGCCCCAACGAATTGAGGCTGTTCTGAGGGCAAAGGTGTGCAACTCAATATTAGGAAGTTGTTCCTAATGTTTTCTACACTCATTGTATTCAATGTCTGAATTGTTATTGTTACCCATCTACCAGTGGTGTAGTGGTCCCTGGAGAAGTGGGTATACTCTCAGTATTCACCTTTTTTTTTTTTAAGTAGTCCAGAAAAAAGCCCTGTTTTAGAAACAGTGACATGTAAGACTATGATTTAGTTTACCCAAAAATATGTAATTTCTACTTGCACACTATTATAAAATGATCATGACTTGATTAGGAGCAGTTTGTAGTTACTACTGGTCACAAGAGCAGCCTGGATGAATGTAAAATGTATTTATCATGAGGCAAACAGGAAATGGTGTTTCGATTATTTTTTGCACATTTATTTAAATAAAATACTTCAAATCTGAAGGTGACAATGCATCCTTGTTCATATTGCTATATGCTTTGTTTTGAACATGTTCATTTACCGGTAAATCATTCAACAAAATATGTTACAACAATATTTAGTTAACAATTAACAAAAATATATGCATTAACAACACATCAACAGTGATATACTCTCTCAACCCAGCACTGGGTTTCTGACCTTTGCTCATACTACAGTATATTCCAGACAAATTTGCTTTCTGCAGGAGCTTTCACACTGCACTGTCTAGAACGCACCGAAGAGGCAGCACGATGGCTCTTCAACCAGGTCCTTGTATATTTTCTAGGATCAAACTTGGAAGTTGGTGGGCCGTTGATATTAATCATCATCAAGTTTGATATGTTTGAGATCAGAAGGACAGCCCTCTTGTCTGAGCTTATATTGTTCATAAGGCTAAAATTCCTCTCACACTCTGCTGTACCGACAGGGAATGTTTTCATACAGTTCATAAGTGGTTTTAGGTCCTTGGGCTCACTACTGGGCTCTTCCAGTAGGTCCCGCATCCCATTCAGTGCTTGGTCTGTGCACAAGTTAAATCGCTTGCACAGTCGCTTAACTTGTTCTTCACCATGGCGGATGCTGGGCTTTGATGGCCACTTACTCTGATCAAGGATGCTGAGGTCCATGATGGTCTCATCTTCAAAAGACAAGCGTTTCTCCAGATTGTTCACAAGGCTTTGTAAGAACTGGCCTGGATTGATAGACTTCAGCTTTGCATTTGTTTTCAGGGCTATAGACCGATACTCCCCAGTCTGTTTTGCTTCTAAAGCCTCACTATATTTCTCACCTGGACTCTCTTTGAATGACTGGATCACTCTGATTGAGCGTTTCAGCAGATGCTCTGCTCTGAGGAGCGTTATAGAACGAGACTGAAGCTCCTGTGACAGGAGACTTAGTTCATGGAGAGTGTCGTACATGAGGCCAAGGTCACAAATGAATTCTGGACTTTGAACACGGTCTAACAAACCTCTGTACATCTGCCTCTCTTTGGTGGACCTCATCTCATCACTGCAAGCATTTTTAAAGTGCTGCACAAGAGCTCCCAGGGATGTCCAAACAGCACGAACAGTCCGAAAGCTACTGGCCACCCAGCGTACATCCAAGATTCTGCCAATGCGAAGAAGTTGTGAGCCTACTTCAGCTGCTGCATTAACAAGTTCACGTTCATTTTTGTTTGACACACTATACAGAGAGTATAGCTTCTGGATAAAAGTTTTAAAGTGATTGACAGAGTTTACCTCATCAACTGCATCTGACACAGCAAGTTCAAGTCTATGGTTCATGCAGTGCCATACAAAAAGCTTTGGGAATCTCAAAGTCAGTCTGGTTGCTACTCCTGACTTCTTTCCTAGCATGACACTGGCTCCATCAGATACAAATGTTACCCAGTTTTCATGAAGCCACTCTTCTGTAAAGCCAGCATTAGTTAAACAGGTGAGTAACGCCTGTAATATGCCATCTGCTCTCTGATTTTCCAGTTCAACAAGTTCCAGGAATATGAACTCAGGGCTTTCTTCTTGAATTGATGCTTTAATAGAAACTGTCATGACAGCTTTGTGACTTAAAGAAGATGCCTCGTCAATTAGGACAGCTAACTTACTGGATGATGCTATAATGCTACTGATGATTTTGCTCTGCATCTCACTAGCAACATGTTGTATTATTTGTGTTGCACTGTAACGTGAATGAAGTATTGAGCCCATTTTTACACCATTCAGTTCCTGCAGCTCAATGAGGCTCTCATGGTCAGAAAAGGGTCGGTTCTTTTTGGCCAGATGGTAGGCTGTTCGAAACACAGCTTCAGTTTCCTTCATGTAGGACTCAGTCATAGTCTCCACTGCATTCTCAATGGCAGCTTCTTTCTGTTGCTCTGCCACCTTCACAGCCTGAGTGTGGGCCTTGGACAACGCATGTTTCCTCACCTTATTTCTCAAGATTGACAAACTTGTTGTTCTACTTCCCTGGCCAGACACTTGAATTTCAAAGTTCATCCATTCTCTTGAGAGCGATACACCTTGTCCTTGCTCCTTGTCGATCCCAATGGAGTTCACACTGCTACAGACCAGACATCCTGCGAAGCATAAACAAACAATGTAACTACTCCTGTATCCACAGCTGTACGTGTGCATGGTCCTTTACACACACACACACACACACACACACACAAAGTTATCTGTGCCCACTGTTTCAGAAGTTACCCAAACTAGCAATCTACCTAAACTTACCCAATTTTTTGTTTTTGGATCCCAACCAGGGGTTCTTGGATTTGAAGTCTTCTGTTTGTTTAGCACTCCACAGGTCTGGCCAGTCATTATTGATGTCTACAGACAACAACAAAACTAATTATGCATCTCCCTGTCTCTCTCTCTCTCACACACTTACACACACACACACACACACACACACACACTACTGTGATCACAATAGTCATCAGCAAGACATGGGTCCCCCTCTTTACATTAACAATCTGCATAACCAAGTGGAAATATTTTCAGCAAGTGAAGCTGAAGCATACAGGAGATTAGTGAGTGAAATACTTGGGAGAGTTTATTTAACAAAAAAACAACAAATTTAACACAAAATGTACAAAATGTTATATAACAGTAGCATTGTAAAAAACAAACATGGATACAGACAAAATAAATAGAAGGGCAATAAAATAAATAACATCACACAGAAATTCAAAATGAGGCTTAATCTGTCAAAATCACCTTTTGTTACAGTGTGAGGCTTCACTTTTCAATAAACTGGAGATGCAATTTACTGCCTGTGTGTTCTGACCTGGTGGTGGTAGACTGGATCCTTCTCTATGCTCACACTGACTTGCCTGGCTAGCTCCCGGTTGAGAGCTGCCAGGGCTGCTGGTTTTAGGGGTGGGGTCTGCCTGGGCCTGATCTGGGCCTGATTTGTGCCTCTTTACAAAAAAGTCTGCAATATCTCCCTTCCTTTTCATGGTTACCTGTCCCTATACAAAATAAGACAGCCTGATTAGACCTCAATATTGTTTTAGGCTGAATCTTAAACTATTTGTCCCCATTCTTGTGTTTTAACTTACTTAAAAATCAACTACCAGCTTAGCTACTATGCAATTAAACTAGATCATATAGGTTAGTTAGGGCTAAGTAACTTGGCTAATGTTATAATTTAGGGCTTAGTAACTTGGCTAACGTTATAATTTAGACCTTTACAATAATAAACAAGCTTCATAAACATTGAGATAATCAGTTTCATCAGTCTGGTATGAAATTCTTATGAACTGGGTTGATTAAACACTTACTGAAAACCAACAATGCCCCGGTTTCCCCACATTATCCCAATCTACGTAGCTAGCTTCATAACGTTAGCCGACTCGCACTAACTATTGGCGGCAACATCTCTTCTCCTCTAAATGTGCAGTCACTGGCAATTTGCCAGTAGTTTAAAATAATGATTCATTTGGAAACCACCTTAAAACTTACCTCAGAATGATGTCTTCCATCAACTGGGGTGGCACACCGCCGCTTGTGTCCTTTCTTCATCCGTTGTTTGGTCTGCTGCCGTTATCGTAGTCAAGTGGCACCGGCACCTGAGTTTTTTTTTTTTTTTTTTTCACTGGCACCTGAGGTATTAGCGATATTTTCCTCGGCATGACCCGCCCTACTCTGCCTCTGATTGGCTCATCAGTCCTCATGCCTAAAGTTAACCAATCTAATCAGTGAAAGCAGCGAGTACCAGCCAATTAGAGGCAGAGGAGGGTGGGTCATGGCTTCACTATCCCCGAGGAAGAAAATAGGCAATCTGACTCACAGATATTACTGAATGATGCGCATCAGGGGGGATTTAGAAGTGGGTATACGCAATGCTGACTGAAAAATAAGTAGGTATACGCCGTATACCAGCGTATACCCTGGACTACACCTCTGCCATCTACCAATCACTGCCCTTCTTTATGAGGCTTTCGAAAAGCTCCCTGGTTGAGTCTCTTGGCATTCTCTCAACCAGCTTCATGAGGTAGTCACCTGGAATGCATTTCAATTAACAGGTATGCCTTGTTAAAAGTTAATTTGTGGAATTTCTTTCCTTCTTAATGCATTTGAGACAATCAGTTGTGTTGTGACAAGGTAAGGGTGGTTGGTATACAGAAGATAGCCCTATTTGGTAAAAGCCGTCCATATTATGGCAAGAACAGCTCAAATTAGCAAAGAGAAACGACAGTCCATCATTACTTTAAGACATGAAGGCAGTCAATCTGGAATATTTCAAGAAGGTTTCTTCAAGTGCAGTCACATAAGCCATCAAGCGCTATGATGAAACTGGCTCTCATGAGGACCGCCACAGGAATGGAAGACCCAGAGTTACCTCTGCTGCAGAGGATAAGTTCATTAGAGTTAACTGCACCTCAGATTGTAGCCCAAATAAATGCTTCACTGACTTAAAGTAACAAACACATCTCAACATCAACTGTTCAGAGGAGACTGCGTGAATCAGGCCTTCATGGTCGAATTGCTGCAAAGAAACCACTACTAAAGGACACCAATAAGAAGAAGAGATTTGCTTGGGCCAAGAAACACAAGCAATGGACATTAGACAGGTGGAAATCTGTCCTTTGGTCTGGAGTCCAAATGTGAGATTTTTGGTTCCATATGTGTTATTCCATATGTGTCTTCACTATTATTCTACAATGTAGAAAACAGAAAAAATAAAGAAAAACCCTTGAATGAGTAGGTATGTCCAAACTTTTGACTGGTACTGTAAGTATGAGAGACAGAGGAAGGGTTGGTCATTCAAAAATCATGTCAACCAATATTATTTCACACAGTGAGTCCATGTAAGTTATTATTTGATTTCTGAAGCCAAATTTGACTCCTGAACTAATTTAGGCTTGCCTCAATAAAGGGGCTGAATACTTATGCAATGGCTATTTTAGTCATCAAACTTTTATTAATCTTTCTAAAAATATATCATTTTTACTAGATTGTTGACAAGAAATGACAAATCAGTTTTAACCCCACTTTTGAAGAAATCCAAGGGGTCTGGATACTTTTGTAAGGCACTATGTTATGAGGACAAAGTAAAATGGAGGGAGGGGAGGTAACTTTTAAGAATGACCTCAAAATGGCCGCTGGTAATGGTGCCTTGTCCTCAAATCAGATGTTATTTGTCACATGCTTCGTAAACAACAGGTGTGGACTAACAGTGAAATGCTTACTTGAAAGCCGGCTGCCAAAACAGCGCTAAGCCATCCGTGATTGATGTGCAGGCTTAAATGGAGAGGTGGGAGGACAGTAGGTGAGGTGCAGCCTCCCTCGTTCCCTCCTTTCCTCTCACTCCGTTGGTCTATGAAAGGACCCACATACCTGTGGCTGTAAGGATTTCACTCCTGTATTCCGAGCCATAGCCGTGGATTAAGGAGATAGTGCTGGGTAAATCTATCACTTCACTCCGGGTCCTATGTTAGCTGCCCAACTGGCCCGTGCACCTGGCGACAGGTGTGGAGATCTGGCCAACTGTGTGTGTCCGTCCGTGTGTGGGTACAGATCCTTGTGACATGGAGCTGTGTATTATCATGCTGAAACATGAGGTGATCGCGGCAGATGAATGGCACAGCAATGGGCGTCAGGATCTCGTCACGGCATCTCAGTGCATTCAAATTCTCTAAAACGATATTGGAGGCAGTTTATGGTAGAGAAATGAACATTACATTCTCTGGCAACAGCTCTAGTGGACATTCCTGTAGTCAGCATGCCAATTGCACGCTTCCTCAAAACTTCAGACATCTGTGGCATTTTGTTGTGTGACAAAACTGCACACTTTAGTGGCCTTTTTATTGTCCCCAGCACAAGGTGCACCTGTGTAATCAGCTTCTTGATATGCCACACCTGTCAGGTGGATGGATTATCTTGGCAATGGAGAAATGCTCACTAACAGGGATGTAAACAAATTTGTGCAAAGAATTTGAGAGAAATAAGCTTTTGGTGCAAATGGAACATTTCTGGGATCTTTTATTTCAGCTCATGAAACATGGGAACAACACTTTACATGCTACGTTTATATTTTTGTTCAGCGTAGCTCCATTCATGTCTATTTTATTTTATTCCTTGTGTTACTATTTTATTATTATTTTAAACGGCATCGTTGGGAAGGGCTCTTAAGTGTCCATTTCACGGTAAAGTCTACACCAGTTGTATTCTGGCATGTGACATATTTGATTTGAGGCATGTTTGCTCTGTGTGCGTGTTTTTACACACCACTTTATTGAATGGTGTTGTGTAGGGGCCCATTTTCTTTGTGCAGTGTGTTACTGCAGTGTTGAGTGATAAAGAGCTCACACTGTCCGTGGGTTTTACTGTTGTCATATATGTGTGTATGTGTGTGTTGTATTCCAGTGTGGAGTTGCACTGTGCTTCCCTGACCCTGGCCTCTAGACTGGTGGTGCACCTATCACACACTGACCCTCAGGTAAGAACCACCAATGATCCAGCTGTGAAATTGTGTGTCTACCATGCCCTGCAGTAACATAAGTTTGTCTGTGTTTATGTCCTTCTCCGACCAGGGTGTGGCTGTAGTAGCGTGTCTGGGGCGCTGGGGGGCGCTGGTGTCTCAGTGCTGCGGTGTGGAGCAAAATGTTGAGGTCAAGATGATGGCTGCTGAGGTACTGGTCAACGCCACACCCACCCTGTTGACCAGCCCCAACCTACCATTGGGTGAGTAGGCCTATATGGAAGTTGGATGTATTTGTGGGGGCTACAGTTGTTTGTTTTTGGTGTGTGTTTGTGTTGGTATTTTGTGGTTGTGTTTTAAGGACACAGCCATACAGATAGAGACAATGTTTTTTTTAATGGGAGTCTTCCGCGGAAGGATGATGGACAACGGAGATGAAAAACCTTTGTGCGTATGTAACCCGTCCCAAAAACAAGTTGAGATGAGTTGAACTTTTGACAGGCAGAAACGGACTGTGATGAATGCGTATGCAGTTGAATACATTTTCATACATCTGTCTGTGTCTAATTAAGTGTTTATTGTGCCAGGTGTGTCCCACACAGTGTCTCTGTGGAAAGGTCTGTTCACTCTACTGCAGGACGAGGACCAGGATGTCAGAGACAGAGCTGCTGACTTCATCTCCAACCTCCCTACACACCTACTGAACACAGGTACACACACCACCTCCGCACAGACACACATGCACAGAAACACACACAAGGGCTGCTTAACCAAATTCCATCTGACATCCAATCGAAATCGAAATTTCAAAGAAGGTTGCGTTAGTAGCGCTACATGCAGCTGTGACATCATGTTTAGTTAGCGCTTGTGGATGTGTTGTAAATACTTTAGATATAGAGGTCATATAAAATTACCCCTGTAATCTTTTTATTACCGTCTCTGCCACAGTGTCAAACACACACACATATGTGTTGGAGTTGGGGAGGGGCACTGACGTGGTTTCTCGCTAAGATTGGGGAGTGTTCCCGGAATGAGGGGTGCTAAATCTTGTTTGTCAGGGGGGTACACTGGGGCTGGATATCATTTGTGTGTGTCTGCGTGTGTGTGTGGTGATTCGTCATAGCTCTGAAGCGTTTGATCTTTGTTTTGTAAAATATTTTGTGACTGCAGGTCTTGGATGCACTCTCAAGCTAACACACACACACACTGCGCCACTCACGGATATATGAGACCACTCAAAAACACCCCTTTGTGGCGCAGGCAGGCACTCACACAGCACCAGAGTATTGACTAGGGGTTGGAACTGAACTTATTTTCCGATCGTTTCGTTTGAACCGAACCACAGTTTTTTTTTTTTGTTCGGTTCCACTGTTCCGACCAGCAAAATAAAGTTCTGAACCGGTTCGAAACAAAAAAAGTCGCTGTTTGTATCGTTGCTTTCTGTTATTTTTGAAACCTCTGAATTGTATTATTGTTTTACATTTAGCTCGACATTAAATGACTTCACCAATGGATAGAGCAGCTTTATGGAGC